ACTGCCTTTCTCTCACTCCATCCTCAGTGAGGGGAGGGAAGGCAGTGCCTGCAGCCATGTTTGTACTTCATGATATCTGCACCTCTGTAATGGCACCTGGGGGGATATGGGACCAAACTGGACTCAACAGAATCTCCCTCCTGGCACCGACCATCGCTGGTCTCAGTTTCCGTGCACTGCTGGAATTGAGGTGAGGGAAACTCAGGCTTTGCACAAGGAGGGCAGAAAATGCCAGACGGAAAGAAGCAGGAACCGTGGGCGCCGAGCAAGGTGGACATCCAAGACTGCTTGGTCCTAGAAGGGAGAAGTAGCCCCTGGGAGACCAGCTGCCTGGTTGCTCAGAGCTCTCCACATTTGGGTCCAGGCCCGCTTTCAGGCTCAGCTGCCCATCCTGCCCTGCCTGTGAGTCATCTTACATTTTTATGCACTGTGGCCCTTTTTCCTCAAGCCAATTTGAAGTGGGTTTTGTTGTTTGCCACCCACAGAGATTTAATCAGGCCAAACCTGGGTCAATCGGCTGCAAGGAATAAAAAAGTCCATGCAAAGAACCCGAAGTATAAGGCCGAGGAGGCGCGCTCACGGAAGCCATCTGGGGCTTTAAAGTTGAGAGGCAACTCCTGTCTTCAGTCTGTTCCTCTCCCAGGGCTGTGTGTTCACCGTTCCCTGCTTGCCCCTCCTGACTGCTCCATTTGTCCCCCGCTGCTGAGCAGTTTCCCTACTCTATTCTCCCCTTCCACGGAGCCCTGGAACCCACGTGGCTTTCCAGCTATGCTGTTCTTACTGATTCCATCTGTTTCTCAATTCTATATTGTATATTCCTGGGAGAGAGTATCTGATGGGCTCAGCTTGAGCCGGGTGCTCATTATTGGTTTCCCTGAGCGGACGGGGTGGGGTACCTGGAAGCTGGGGTTGCCCCTTCCAGGGATGTGGGCAGAGTAGACTCCAAAAGTGGCGTGGACAGAGAGGAATCATAGTATAATGACCAGCTGGCTGGCTGGTAGGTTGTAGGAGATTCAGGCTTCAGGGGGTCACACACCTTCTAAACCTGGGGAATCTCCTTCATTTCTGTGAGCTCTAGTTATTGTACCTGTAAAATTAAGAAGTGGAACCAGAAATAATAACTAGCATTTATAGAGCATCTACCATGTGTCAGATTCTATTTTAAGCACTTTGCATGCACCAGTTTAATTTATTTAATGCCTGTCAAGCATTTATGGTGGTCACTAGGATGACAATCTTGTTCCAGCATTCAGTAAATGGACCTACAATGTGCAAATCCCAATCTGTGGGACTTTACCCTTAGTGATCTTGTAAAACTGTAACGCATCTCCATCTTTTCAGCCCACAGTCCTGACATATGTATCCTCACATACAAATTCTTTGTCCATCGATAAGGTTTTGATGTTTAGGTTTTCAAAACAAAGGTATTTTATTTCTGATAGAAATGAAAGGAAAAAAACTAGAACTTGGAGATAAATGATTTATTTCCTCTATCACAAATGATAATCAGCCCAAATCTCCCTCCTAATTCACCATGCAATGAAACCTGTTTTGTCACAGTTTTATTAATGTGTAATTGAAGGGGCGCCTGGGTGGCTCAGTCGGTTAAGCGTCTGCCTTCGGCTCAGGTCATGATCCCAGGGTCCTGGGATCGAGCCCCGCATCAGGCTCCCTGATCAGTGGGAAGCCTGCTTCTCCCTCTCCCTCTGTCTGCTGCTCTGCCTACTTGTGCTCTTTCTCTCTCTGTCAAATAAATAAATAAATAAAATCTTTTAAAAAAATAAAGTGTAATTGAAGACAATAAACTATATCCCCTTAAAGTATATACAATCTGATGAGCTTTTGCATATGCATGCACCAGTGAAACGTCACCACAGTCAAAGCAGGAACATCTATCTGTCACCTGTTAGTTCAAGTGTCCTTGCACTTCTTTGTAATCCTTCCCTCCCACTGCACCCCAGAATTACAGGTTTCTCCACTCAGGCTGCCCAGAACATCAGCTATTCCCAGGCCTGTGCAGCTGGGAAATTGTTCTGCCTGCTTCTTTCCAGTGGTTCTTCCTCTGGCCTTGGATAGTTTCCTCACATGCATGCACTTGACCAGTACTCCGGTGAAGGCCTAGGGGTGGAGGGAACCCTCGGCAGACCTCCAGAACTCTTTCTGTACAGCTCTTTCCCCTCTGGTACTCTGCTCTGTGGATTCTAGCCACCTGGCCCCCCGGATTCTCAATTCTGTTTTCTCTGCTCAGAGACACTGCCAGGCTTCCTTTGGGTTCCCCTCCCAGGCTTGCAGTTTGGAATCCTCTCCAGGCAGGAAGCCAGGGTAGTCAGAAGGATCACTTCCTTATTTATTTTTTTAAAGATTTTATTTATTTATTTGACAGACAGAGACACAGCGTGAGAGGGAACACAAGCAGGGGGCGCGGCAGATGGAGAGGGAGAAGCGGGCTCCCCACTGAGCAAGGAGCCCAATGCGGGGCTCAATCCCAGGGCCCAGGATCATGACCTGAGCTGAAGGCAGATGCTTAACCCACTGAGCCACCCAGGCATCCCTCCACTTTTCTCAAAAGGACCCTGTTGTGAAGTTAGAGAGGGGGGATCTTTAGCAGTGCTGGCGGGATTGGAAATAAATGCTCCTGAGAAACGCTGTCCCTCCCACTCGCCCTCATTATCTCCCCCACGGAACATGTGAGCGGGGTCTCACTATGTGCCGACTTCCCTTCCACTGTCCCAAAAGCAGGAATGAGGGTCCTGTGTCCATCTTAAAATCTCTGTGAAGGACAAACGAAATCATGTGCCTGAAAGTGCTTGGCAAACTTTGAAAACAACACAATTGTTGATCAATGCTATATCCTATTATTATCATGCATGGTTATTTTTCATATTATTATTTTTATCATAGCTACTATTTAGAAGATTTGAATGCTACCTTCAGGATCCATTTTTATCACCAGTGACAGTTTCTCCTTATCATAAGCCTACTGGAGCTCTCTGAGGTCTATGGTGAAAGGAATCCTTATGTTGTCAAGAACATCCTTAAATGGCTTCAGTTGTGTGGGTTGACTATCTCAGAGGTGGAAGAACCTGTAACCCAAAGTGGGCCACCCCCTGTAGGGCTAAGAGGCCAGTATTTCAGCTTCAGAGTCATGCATATACACAACCTCATGAACTCTATCAATTTTCCTTTTCATGGAATAGCAAGAAATATTGGACTTTTTTCTTTTTTCTTCTTTTGTATTTTTACCTTCTAGTTCTATCCTTCTCTATTCTAGATCTGAAAGCAATGGGTTCCTAAATATAAGCTCTAAAATCATATATATACATGCTATTTTCCTATCCAATTATTTTCTCTTTCCCTCCTAAAAACGACATTGAACCATGTACAAATTACAATGTTCATGCATCCAATCAAAAAAACTTCTGGACATGCCAAAAAGCAAGAAAATGTGATACATAATCAGCAGAAAAACGAATCAATACAGACTCTGAAATAAAAAAAAAAAAGCAGAAACCACTGGCAGGCAGTTACAACTCTCGGGTGTGGTCTCCACTGGACTGGATTTTCATAAACCTTATTATGCCATTTAAAACACTACTAAAAACAAACAAACAAACAAAAAAACACTACTGCTCTGGGGCACCTAGGTGGTGCAATTGGCTGAGCCACCCACTCTTGATTTCCCCTGAGGTCACGATCTCCAGGTCATGTCATCCACCTGCGTGGGGTGTGAGATCTAGCCGGTGTTGGGCACTGGGCTCAGTGCAAAGTCAGCTTGAGATTCTCTCTCTGTCTCCCTCTGCCCCTCCGGCTCATGCTCTCTCTCTCTCTCTCAAATAAATAAATAAAATCTTAAAAAAAAACCTGCTGCTCAGTTTTGTAACTGTGTATGGTGACAGATGTTGTGGTGATCCATCAACAATATATACAAGTGTTGAATCATTATGTACACCTGAAACTAACATGTTATATGTCAAGCGTATCTCAATAAAGGAAAAGGTTACCTGCTAAATTTAATTAAATAAAATACATCTTCACTAGATCGTGCATGATCCAAGCTGAAGGCCTCTCTGCATGTTATATAGAGTTAGCTCATCAGGTCCTCATGATTGGCTGTGTTCAGATTTCCGGTTATGTTTGTGGAAATATGACTGCATGTGACTACTTGATTTTTATGTTTCAACAGCATTGCCCGCCTTGTGCTACCCAAGTACATCTGGGGAATCGAATGTGTCAGGGGACGTTGGAGGTGAAGGAATGGACTGTCTGAATTGGTTCCCCAGTTCAAGTCCCTTTTCTAAAGCAGACCCTCAGGTCACCAAGATTTGAGCTTCCCCTTTGGGCTGACACCCGAGCAGGTCTCCCGTGTTAATAAAGCCGAGCGGGTTTAGACACAAACCCTGCCCAGCCTCGGAGGGCCGCGGTCGTAGATGCACTCTCAGTACAGCACCGCTAGAAACCCACCCTCCAGGTCTCCCTCCCGCGGTCTCCCAGCTTGGGAGGAGCCTGCAGAAGGCGGTGTGTGGAAGGTGTCAACGCGAGCAAGGGGGGCAGGACAGCACGCAGGAGGGGCGGGGCTGGGGAGTCGGGGGCGGGGCCGCACGCGGGCGGGTGGGGGGAGATGGGCGGGGCTTGGCGCGCCTCCGCCCCCGCCGCGGCCACTGTTCACAGTCTCGGTGCTGATCCGCGCCGAGGCCGTCTTGCTGCTTCAGAGGGAGCCCCGGGTCCCGGCAGAGAGGCGCGGGCGTTCCCGGAAGCCTCCACAAAGCACGAGCGGCGGTGCCGGGCAGGGCCGGCTATGCCTCCCGTTGCTGCGGTTCCCGCCGGCGACCGCGCGCCCGCGGCTTCGGGGGTGCAGCCGGGCCCCGGGGAGGCCGCGCTGTGAGGCGCCAGGGCCTAGCGCCCGCCGCGGCCGCGCAGGAGGCGCACAGGGCCCGGGCTCGCCCCGCCTTCCTCGCGCTCTACGGCCCCTCCTAGGCTCGCTGCCTCAGCTGCCGGCCGCCATGGCCTTCGCCGCCCGGGAGGGCGCGGGCTCGGGGCGCGGGCGGCCGCCGCGGCACCGGGCGCTGCGCGGGTTGCTGCTGCTCTGCCTGTGGCTGCCGAGCGGCCGCGCTGCCGGCCCGGCCTCCGCGCCGCTGTCCGAGCTGCACGCGCAGCTCTCGGGAGTGGAGCAGCTGCTGGAGGAGTTCCGCCGGCAGCTGCAGGAGGAGCGGCCGCAGGAGGAGCTGGAGCTGGAGCTGCGCGCGGGCGGCGGCCCCCCAGAGGAGGGCTGCCCGGGCCCGGGCGGCGGCGGCTACAGCGCCATGCCGGACGCCATCATCCGCACCAAGGACTCCCTCGCGGTGGGCGCCAGCTTCCTGACCGCGCCGGCAGCCGTGCGGGACTGGCGGCAGTGCGTGGCGGCCTGCTGCTCCGAGCCGCGCTGCTCGGTGGCGGTGGTGGAGCTGCCCCGGCGGCCCGCGCCCCCCGCCGCCGCGCTCGGCTGCTATCTCTTCAACTGCACCGTCCGCGGCCGCAGCGTCTGCAAGTTCGCGCTGCACCGCGGCTACAGCAGCTACAGCCTCAGCCGCGCCCTGGAGGGCGGGCAGGAAGAGCTGGAAGCCGCGCCACGCACGGGTGAGCACTCGGCGGGAGGAGGCTGGCCCAGACCTCTGGGTCCTGCTGCCCTGGCACCTGTGGGCTGCATCCGGGAGACCACTGAGGCAGTATAGCCAAGTGAAAAATGGAACAGCCTCGTTCCAAGTTATTTTAGTTCGGGGCATCCGGACGAGTGGCTTTGATTGCTGTTTTATAGATGCTTTCTGAGAAACCTAGAAGATTGGGCAGAGAGGGCACCGTGGCCTGCTTCTGGAATTTTTCTATCCTTGGGGAGGGAGGCTGATCTGAGAGGATTCGCAGAAATTCGATTTAAAGGAGGAGAAAAGCTCGAAGTAAAAAAAGAAAAAAAGTTTATTTTAGGCTCAGATTTTTGTAAGTCATGGTTTGTGCCAAGTAATCGCAGGAGCAAAATCTAATTAGGTGCCAGACTGCTCATAGCACACCCGTTTCTTAGCTTGACTCATGATTCCATGTGCAGTGGCTTTCACCAGACAAAAATGAGAAGGGAAACTTGGTGTCAGGAATTTTGAAGTGGGTCCAGCTGACTCCCATGAACTACGGTCCCTTTTGTAAAGAGGGAAAGGAAGGGATTTGATTTTAGTTGAAAATAAGGAAGTTGAGGGCACATCTCTTTTTAAAAGACTTAATAATGAAGTTTTTCATTCTGTGGTTTTACTTCCTGCAGATGCTCTGAATGACAGTCAAGGCACATACAGGAAGCACAAAAAATGTGGCAGTTGGCGATTAAAGCCATTGGGGGAAAAAAAAAACCTCGATTGGGCCCACATGTGGTTGGCTGTGTGTTTGATTGCATTCTGTTGCTCTTTGATTTATGATAACATAAGAATGATATAGTGAGATTGGGGGTGGGGGGGAGCCTCAGCCGCTTTGGAAATCTGGAGTCTCCAAGACCTGAAGGTCCAAAGAGAAGGGTCTGGGAAACCATATTCGCAAGGGCCCATCTCCTCACCTACCTCCACCTGAGAGAAAGCTCAGGACCCTTGTCAGGGGAGCAGACATCAAAAGTCACCCTGGGACTGTTCAGCCCTGAGGCAGACATTGGGAAGAACCCCAAAGTTTTCTCCCTGAAGCAAAAGCAAGAGACACTTTCATTTGGACCTCCGCCAGCATCCCTGAGCCTGCCCCATGGCTATTACACACACATCCTTCCTCTTTGCTCAAACATGGACTAAAAAAATCCCAGCAGTGAAGAAACAAAATCCCTTTCTCTTGTTCTCACTGCACATCTGGAAGAAACCAACATCACCAAAGGAGGCTTTCTTATAAGCTAGGGGAAATCAAAAGGAAAATAAGGAAAGAACATGCTCATGGAAATTAAAAAAAAAAGTTAGGTTTACTAGTAGGAGTTTCTGAGTCACTTTTCTTCCGGTTCCTTCATTGCCATTCCCTTCCCTAGGGGGTATTTGGGAATTCAATTATGTAGATGTTAGGGATAAAAATGGGTGACCACAGGGCTTGGTCCTCATTCTGGAAAACACTGTCATACTCACACTTCAGATCCCCAGCAACATGTAGAAGGTTGTAGCTCAGGTCCCGAGGTACCCTTATTTGCAGCTAGGGCAAAGGTTACCTGCCCACATGCACTGTGTCTGCCTTGCCTTGCTTAGGTGCTTAACCTCTTGAAGCTCTTTATGCTTCTGAAACTTACACGTTATTCCTTCTTGCATTGCCTCTTTTTCCAACTCTTGTGAGTATACAGAGCTGGAGGCTAACTGAGCCTGAATATCATTTAGAAAAGCTCTTCCAGAGAACTAGTCAGGGGGCCATTTGAGGTGAATATAAGCATCATGAAATGATGAGGGGGCAGGTGGAATGGGATGGCACAAATTTATAGCAGAACCCATCAGCCGTGTTTGTTGCGGCCACTGACTGAGTTTGGTGCTAGACATTATTATAAGGTGCTTAGACACATGAACTCACTCTCCTCACAACAGCCAAAGATCTAGGTTCTGTTATAATCCCCAGTGTACTAGAAGGCTCTGTGAGAGAAAGTAAACTGCCCAAAAAAGCCTTGCCACACATGAGTTGCGGAGCCGTATCCAAGTGTCTCCCAGGAAATATGTAGCAGAGACCATTAAAATGGTCATTCGTTCTGGGATATTTTTAATGGGAAAGTGGTCCATGCTAAAGAAAAAGTAGGAGCAAGGAAATTTATTGTGGCATTATGTATAATGGTGAAAAAATTGATAAAGTATATGTCCAATAGCAGAGGCTAAAATTAAAATGGCAACTGTGAAGTTTATGGAGTTACATGGGCAATACTAGAATATATGAATAAATATCAATAAATAGAACATATTAATGAGTTAGTAGGCTAATTCAGGATATAAATTTCTATTTCCTATAACTGGATACACTTTGGGGACTCCCAAAGTATGTTTAGAAAGATCTGGGCTGACATCCGAACTGACAAATTTATCATTTGTATCATCTTAGGCAACTAAGCATCTGACTCTCATTTCCTCATGAGTCTGATGCAGATGATAATACCTCCCTCCCTCAGAGATTTGTGAAAGTTGAGTGACATTAAGGCTCACGAGCACTTAGCCTAGTGCCTGGTACAAAGAAATCACCCAATAAATGGCAGCTCTTACTTATTATCATCAGCTCATGTAGAGAAAAACTATAACGGTACACACCAAAAATGATGATAATCATATTGGGATTGTGAATAATCTTTTCCTGAAGTGTTACAATTAGGAGGAACACACAATGAAAAAAAGAAAACCACAAAAACAAATAAACCAACCACATGGATTTTGACACAGTATCTAAGCCTCTTCCCTTAGGCTGGCCCCACTTCTGTGTCCAGACTTTAGGAGTCTCTGCTAGTTTCTCAACCGCCACTATATCCTTTGTGCCCACACAGTACAGATCCAGATTCCAGAACCTCCTTGTTATTAAGGCTCCGTTCACAGCAGTGTGTTATAAATCAGATTACTTAACAATATTCTTATCTGTATAAAATGTTTTAACTTGATATGCTTCATCAGAATTGGTATGAGTCTTATTTTGCCTCTGTAGATCTGACCAAGTGTGTTTAATTTTCAAAAGAAATCAGTGTTTCTATAGTACTTAACGTTGATTTATTATTTTTATGATGAGAATTCAGATTTACCTTTTTTTTTTTTAAAGATTTTATTTATTTATTTGCCAGAGAGAGAGCACAAGCGGGGGGAACGGCAGGCAGAGGGAGAAGCAGGCTCTTTGCCGAGTAAGGAGCCCAATGCGAGACTTGATCCCAGGACCCCGGGATCATGACCTGAGCCGAAGGCAGACAATTAACTGACTGAGCCACCCAGGCATCCCTCAAATTTACCTTTATCTTGTTCTTTATCAGCAAGTCAAGTTTTTTTTTTAATTAATTTATTTATTTAGAGACAGAGAGAGTGGGGGGGAAGGGGCAGAGAGAGAAAATCTCAAGCAGCCTCAACGCCCTGTGCAGAGCTCCATGCCGGTCTCCATCTCACGACCCTGAGATCATGACCTGAGCCGAAATCAAGAGTCAGACACTTAACCGGCTGAACCATCCAGGCGCCCCTTAAAGATTTTAAGTAATCTCCACACCCAACCTGGGGGCTCAAACTCAACAGCCCTGAGATCAAGAGTCCCATGCTCCACCAACTGAGCCAGACAGGTGCCCCAGCAAGCCAAATATTTTTAAATGATAGCATACTCCTTTCCTCTTGTTGTTTATTTTTAAGACCTGTTCCTGGGTAGATAAGCTCTGGCTTATTTCAGAATACATTACGCAGCATAATTTACCTGGACTTAAACTGAGGAGGAAATGTATCTCTTTTATTTTAGTTACAACAGTGATCAATGTGGAAGATATGAAGGTTTCGCTGTGTTCATAAATCATATCTTAAAGCTTACCTACAGAAAAGTAAACAACTAAAACAATGATTTTTTTCTTCTTCTTCCAGGAAAGGCAGGATTAATTAGTTTTGTAATTATGTGAGATATTTCAGAACTTACCTGATTTTTCCATCTTAAGTCTTTGGGGCTACATCTTTGAGAGCTTAAAAATATAGCATTCATTGTTGTTTATATCATATAGGCATATTTTAGTTTGTTTACTTGCAAAAAGTATTTTAAAGTAAATTTTCATGCAGATAGTTGCTAACTCTAATGTATTACTGTGAATTATAAGATAATTTCCAGAATTATAAAGTGGTAAAGCATTGTGTGGAAAGCAATGAAACTTCCAGAGCCAAAAGAAAGTTCTCTGTAACACTCTGTAAAATGGCTTATTAGTAATGAAATTGTCACCTCTTTCCTTACCTGGGAGAAGCAGAATAAAGACCTTAGACACTAGGTCTTTGCTCAGAGATGGAAAAGGCAGAACAAATTTCTTCTTAGGCAAAGGTTGCTTGGGTGGCTTATTTAAATCTGAGTTATTAGTCCTCATTGTTTTAAATGACTATAAAAATGGGACTCATCTTAGGGCGCCTGGGTGGTGCAGTCAGTTAGGCATTCCGACTCTTAATTTCGGCTCAGGTCATGATCTCAGAGTCATGGGATCAAGCCCCACAGCCAGCTCCATCCAGCTCCACTCTCAGCACGGAGTCTGCTCAAAGACTCTCTTTCCTCTCCCTCTGCCCTTCCCCCAACCCCCTTCTCAAATAAATAAGTCTTTAAAAAAACAAAACAACAACAACAAATGGGACTCATCTTCTCAATAGACAAATGGAACCATCAGCAATAGCAAGTGTGCTTATTCCCTGTAAATAGGCTCATAAAGAAGCCATCTCTTTTTGAGGCTACCAGCAGCATTCTCATTCAGAAAAGCCACAGCTCTAAGAGCTGCCAGCCCCTTATAGAAATTCTGGGTTTCTGGGTATATTGGGAGGATCAGTAGATGAGAAGATAGGGCTGGACGAGCAGGTCTCTCAACATCTGCAAGATCATGGTAATTTGTTGAAGGGTTTTTCTTAAGCAGGGAAATGACCCAATCAGACTAGAATTTCAGGAAAGTCATTTTAGCTGTAGTGTATCAAGAGTAAGGACCTTTGTTGCCTAGTGACAAATAGGATTGCTGCTAGCCTCAGGCCCTGGGATATCTGGGTTGGCCCTCAGAGGTTTGCTTGGGAAGCCACCCGGGTTCTGGAGGAAGAGAGCTGTGTCTCAGCAACGTCATTCAGAGAAAGTTAAGGAAGAACAAATCCAGGCCAGAATTTGGGCAGAGCTTTGGCATGGGAGGAGGGAGGAAATAGTGGCAGCCAAAAAGGATAGATTATAAGAACCTATAGATTTTTCCCCCAGTTGTATTACTTAGTTTCTTTAAGATAAAAGTGCATTTGGGTAAGTTTACTAATAAGCTTAAATCAATAAAATATTCACAACTCTGCTCTTAGAAATGTTTTCTGTATGCAGCTTCTCCTATCCGTCGACTATCAGTTAAAGATTAGTAGTTAGTGAACACTACTTCACCTTAGCCTTGAATTATTTAGTACCATTCCAGATCAAAGGTAAACACATACTTATTTGCTATCATACAGAAACTCTGTGCCAGCTTCTGTTATAAAAGTTAGTCGTTAGGGGCGCCTGGGGGGCTCAGTTGGTGAAGCACCTGCCTCCGGCTCTGGTGATGGTCCCAGGGTCCTGGGATTGAGCCCCTCGTCGGGCTCCCTGCTCCCCAGGGAGCCTGCTTCTCCCTCTCCCTCTCCTGCCGCTCCCCCTGCTTGTGCTCTCTCTCTGTCAAATAAATAAGATCTTTAAAAAAAAAAAAAAGAAAAGAATTAAAAAATAAAAATTAGTTGTTAGAACCTGTGAATGTTTTCTATTTTCCTAGATGAAAAATTGTATTCCAGAAAATTTCTAAGTGAGTTTTATTTTGTGTGAATCCAAGAACTTGCCTTAACTTTAATTTAGTCTCCTACGCACTGAATACTTAATATCACTTCTATTTTAAAAACTTGAGGATAGGGCGCCTGGGTGGCTCAGTTGGTTAAGCGACTGCCTTCGGCTCAGGTCATGATCCTGGAGTCCCGGGATCGAGTCCCACATCGGGCTGCCTGATCGGCAGGGAGTCTGCTTCTCCCTCTGACCCTCTTCCCTCTTGTGCTTTCTATCTCTCATTCTCTCTCTCTCTCAAATAAATAAAAAAATCTTTAAAAAAAAAATAAATAAAAATAAAAACTTGAGGATAAGAAAAAAAATCTGTATCAGAGGTGGGTTTTTTTTTAAAAAATGTGTTTCAGAAGTTCTTTTTTGATAAATTCATTTAATAGAACTTTGAACTAAAATTATTTATGAATTAAATGAATATTTGACTCTAGAGAATAAAAGTACTACTCCAGGTGGATAGCCTAGTACTCACAAGCTTGTGGTAGCTGCTGCTACTAGCTGATACACCACACCTCCTCTTCTGCATGTGTTAAAGTCCATATTCCTAATTTGTTGCTATTGTTTATTATGTAAAGAGAATATGATGAAAATCAATAAGAAAACTTTAGTTGCTATACATTCTCTTAGTAGTTCACTGGACTACATCTATTCTAGCAAACAAGATACTTCTTTAAATAAATTATTAAAAAAATAGGGCCTCATCTCTCTTGTGAATTATTGATTTTCTTTTACAGAAAAAGATGAGCCCCCACTTAGCAAGGCCGGGCAGGATGTGGTCTTGCATCTACCTACAGATGGGGTGGTTTTGGACGGCCGTGAGAGCACAGATGACCATGCCATTGTCCGGTATGAGTGGACACTGCTGCAGGGTGACCCATCAGTGGACATGAAGGTAATTCATGACGTCATTGTAATGACCGCAAATATTTCCATGAGGTGACTGCTCATAATGTTCTTCTACTCCTGTTCCCAAAATATCTGTAAGCTAGCAGAAGAGGTATAAAATGGAGAATGCACAAAAGTGATAGCTGAAAAAGTGGTTTATTATATGAATTTACTTTTCTACTGAGTAAACAGTGATTCTGATCCTTTGTTTTGAAGCTTACTCTTGTTCTTGCTGCTTTTTTGGCAAAACACTTCAAGGGAAAAGACTCAGGCTTTGTTTTAATGATTCAGATTACTTTTTAAATTTTTTTTTTTTTTGCTTTTTTTTACTTTTTAAATTTTTTTATTCCTTCTTTCCTTAGCTCAAGGTCCAGGTAGAAAATTTGAAAAATACGAAGGAATATAAAGAGGAAAATAACAATAGAATAAACCAATTCGGGGAGCCTGGGTGGCTCAGTCGGTTAAGCGACTGCCTTCAGCTCAGGTCATGATCCTGGGGTCCTGGGATCGAGCCTGGGATCAAGCCCCGCATTGGGCTCCCTGCTCAGTGGAGAGCCTGCTTCTCCCTCTCCCTCTGCCCCTCCCCCTGCTTGTGTTCCCTCTCTCGCTGTCTGTCAAATAAATAAGTAAAATCTAAAAAAAAAAAAAAAAGAATAAACCAATTCTTCACAGGATCCAGAAAGCAACCACCTCATCTGGCAATGAGGCCTGCTTGAGATAACTGAGTCAGTCAGTGAGGGCAAGTGTCCCTGTTGGTGCCCTCCCCGCTGATGTTCATCAGGCTTATGTGGGCTGATCGGAATTGCTACAGACGGAATGAGTCACTCTCCCATTGGCTGCCTACACCCAGGAGTCTTTCTGTTTTTGTTTTTTTTTTTTATTAATTGAGCTATTAAAAAACATTATATTAGTTCCAGAAGAACAACATAATGACTCGACATCTATACATATTGTGAAATGATCACCATAATAAGCCTAGTTAAGATCTGCTATCTCACATAGTAACACGTTTCTTGTGATGAGAATTTTTTTTAAGGAAGCCTTAAAAACTTTTTTTGAAGATTTACTCTCAGTGACTTTCAAATATACAGTACAGTATTATTAACTATAGCCACCATGCTTTACATTATATCCCATGACTTATTTATTTTATAACTGGAAGTTTGTACCTTTTGACCCCACTTTACCAATTTCACCCACCCCTCACACCCTGCCTCTTGCAACTACCCATCTGTTCTCTGTATATATGAGCTCAAGTTTTCTGTTTAGATTCCGCATATGAGTGAGATCATACGGCATTTGCCTTTCTCTGTCTGAGTTATTTCACTCAGCATAATACCCTCAAGGTCCCTCCATGCTGTCACAAATGGCAAAATTCCTTTTTATAGCTAAATATATGTATATACCCCATTTTTCTTTATCCATTCATCCATCAGTGGACATTTAGGTTGTTTCTTTATCTTGGCTATTGTAAATAATGCTGCAATGAACATGGGGGAGTGCATATATCTTTTCAAGTTAGTGTTTTGTTTACTTTAAAGAAATACCTAGAAATGGAATTGAGGGATCAACACAGGGTATCTTGAGTTGTGAGGCAAGTGGCTTCCAATTAACTCTGTCAGGATCCTTCCTAGATGGGAGTATTTTCTGGCTTAACCACGTTAGTTGGAGGAGGAGGAAAAAGTCTGTATTGGTCTGCTGGGGCTGCCATAACAAACTAGCACAGACTGGATGGCTTAACCAACAGAAAGCTCTCACTGTCCTGGAGGCTGAGGTCCAAGATCAAAGTGTCAGCAGGGCTGGTTTCTTCTAAGGCCTCACAGTTGGCTGTCAACTACTTCCTGTGTCTTCACAGGGTCTTCCCTCTGTGGGGAAGCACTGATTTATATTCTTTTGGAACAAAAACAATAATCAGCTAGTCCTTCAAGACTGATTTGTGTTCTTTATTTACTCAATTATTATGTAGTCTTTGATTTGCCTGGACCCTTGATGAGCGTCTTACCCAGCCCCCATCCATCTAGGAGCCCCTTCCAGTGGTTGTCCACTCTCTGCCTGGTATTTCCAGAGATGAAAGCTCACTACTTCACATCATGTCCCGTAACAGCTTTCATCAGCTCTAATTATTAGGCCAACAGGATATGCCTCCTATTACTACTGTGCACTGTGCTCGATCTTCTCTTTGGAAAAGCACTGAATACATCTTTTTACTCTATTTATCAGCCACTTAAGTTTTGGGGAAAAAAATGAGGGGTGCCTGGGTGGCTCAGTCAGTTAAGTATCTGCCTTTGCTCAGGTCATGATCTCAGGGTCCTGGGATGGAACCCCACGTCGGGCTCTCTGCTCAGAAGGGAGCTTGCTTCTCCTTCTCCTCCCTGCTCATGCTCTGTCTCTATCTTTGTCTCTCTCTCTCTCAAATAAATAAATAAAATCTTAAAAAGAAAAATGAATGTCAACCACTTGGAATGCTCTTCTCAGAACTCAACACTCCCAGTCTTTCAGATGTTCCTCATAAATTGATTTTCAGAGGGTCCCACTTACCATCCAGCCTCTTCTGGATTTTCTCAGATTCTTCCAGGCCCTTCTTAAAATCTGACATCCTGGGGTGCCTGGGTGACTCAGTCAATTAAGCATTTGCCTTCGGCTCAGGTCATGATCCTGGGGTCCTGGGATCGAGTCTCCCATCAGGCTCCCTGCTCAGCGGGGAGTCTACTTCTCCCTCTCCCTCTCCCTCTGCCCTTTCCTCTGCTTGTGCTGTGTTTCTCTCCCTCTCTGAAATAAATAAATAAAATCTTAAAAAAAAAATCTGACACCCTTATGAACCCCATATGTAACTGTGGTTCTTCCTAACACAGACTATCACCTCCTGTGATCCAGACATTGTCTCTACTTCTACTAATGAAGCTCAATTTACATAAACTATTTTAGTGGCTGCTTCACACAATAGATTCATGTTGAGTTTTCTAGTAGCAGGATTACCCAAACCCTGCTTCATCTTTCTGCACGGACTGCTGCCCTGATGGCCCCTTCATCCTGTGTTTATATAATTGATTTATTGAACCTGAGTGCAGGACCTTATGTTTATCCGTTTTACATCTCAGCCTTTTGGTTTTCATCTACAACAGAAATAATTTTGAAATTTGAGTATCATCCAGCATATTTATTATCCTTCGATGCATTGTGTCAGCTGCAAAATTAATATATCTTTATTTAATCTATGAGAACTAAGGTTGATCAGGAAAGGTACACAGACAAGCCATTGATCATACCACTAGAGAACTCCCTTGAGATGGACACTGACTGGTAATTGGCACTTCTGGGACATACTTGTTCAAGCAGCTATAAATCTGCCTCCATTATCATCTAGCTTTGTCTATTTGCTACTAACAGCTTTATTCTGTAAGCAATGAATTGCATATTTGAGTGCTGAATAAAAATAATGCTGATGATTCAGTATTTAATTTATTGAAGATATCTAAAAGGCCTAACAAAATTAGGCATTTCTCATGGGCTTTTAGGTCTGACTGCTCTGCCATCAAGAGGGAAATGTGGACCAATTCCCCCGCCAAGTGTATAATGTGCTGGCAGATAGATCTAAAGTTATACAACCATAATCTAAGTGACAAAATCTGCAATAAGAGAGCCATTTGCTACCAAACTGTGACTGTCTTATAATGGTGTACATTCATGAATGCCCCCAAAAGTAAACTCTCATCCTACTCTGACTTCATCATAATAAAGCTGTCATTGATTGAGCCATCCAGGCGGTTTAGACCTATCTGTAATCCTCAGAACAACCTCACAAGCGGGCACATCCCTACTTTGTGGATTAAAATTATAATAAAACATCATTAAAGACTTTGAAGTGGCAAGAGATTACTGAGTACCTCTCAGTGAAATGCTGCAGAGCAGGTCCTTCAAGGTTAGCATTTATAGATTGTAGAAAACAGATTGTAATGCAAATGATTCTTGTCCATAGAAATGCAAATAAATTTTTTCATATAGAGATGCAATTGATTTCCGCCCTGTGGACATCAAATATGATATTTTAACACCCATGGGTATTAATCTATTAATCCACGTATGTTGGTGCCTAATCACTACTAATAGGAAACTTGTTTCAGCTTTGCATCTCCTAGCAACTTCATTTAAACATTCATGGCTGCTTATTTCTGTCTGTTCCTCAGATTCTCCTTTGTTTTTTGTTTGTTTTTTTAAAGATTATATTTTTATGAGAGACAGAGAGCAAGTAGGGGGAGGAACAAAGGGAGAGGGACAAGCCAACTCCGCTCTGAGTGCACAGCCTAACACAGGGCTCCATCTCAGGACCAAGATCATGACCTGAGCTGATATCAAGAGTCCCATGCTTAACCTGCTGAGCCACCCAGGCGCCCCTCAGATTCTCCTTTGAATCTATGGAATGTCTTATTGGTTTTCTCTTTAATTAATGAATTAAATAAAATCTTTGACTCATGTTCATATTAGATTTGTGTGAGAGTCATAGTTTTAACATTTTGAGAATGTTCCTTTAACAGTAATTAACATCCTTCAGGGACCATCTCACTGACCCCTTTCACTTGGGCAGTGGATTTTACACCCCAAAATTTCCTTTTTTTTTTAGCTTATTTATGTTATTTATTAATCTCTATACTCAACACGGGGCTCCAGCTCACCACGCAGAGATCAAGAGTTGGTGTTCTTCCAACTGAGCCAGCCAGGTGTCCCCACAGCCCCAAGTTTCTGACAGGAAAATTAGAACTCTTAAGTCAGTTTTTTGTTTGTTTGTTTGTTTGGGGTTTGTTTTGTTTTTCTGAGAATGGGATCCAGTTGACTGGAATGTTAATTCAGTCCTCCTTCCAGCTGTAAAACAGGGCTCACTTGAAAGGTTGTTGGGAATGGGGGAAGAGCGATTATAGGCTAGCATAGCGAAGCAATTAAGTTAAAACCCAGTGTGCGATACACTTGTTCTTATGCCCCTTGACCATCCCCACCCCTCAGGAGCACTCACTG